TATATATTAGGTCAATGATGAGTACACTCCAGGACACACATTCTTAGGAAAATACTACTATCTTTAAAAGCTATTTAATTTGAAAACTTACAAAGATATGGGGGAAATATTAAAGAATTTATAAACCCAGACTTCCATTAATACTGAGAACTCACTGGGTAATTTGTAAAATGTAGCAATATGCATACCATTTTGAAATAAGATACAGAAAAAGTGACTAGAATGATGATGCCATAATCCCAGTACTGGAGATGACTAAGCTTTCAGTACTCACAGGCTTACCATCTTGACCAGGTTGTCCAGGGTAGCCAGGGTTCCCAGGCAGTCCAGGGTCACCCTAGACAGGAAAAAACTTCTCAGTGCAAACCAACCAACCACATTAGTATAATAAGGACCAAAGGCAATTACAATGTTTGAAACTTTTTTATACTAAAAAAATCCCAAAATAGGGTTGAAATAATAATGCTGTATCTTAAATGATAACAAAGTAAGCCCTTTTACTATGTTAAGATTTTGATAATTTATTTCTGTGAGCTCATAAAGTATAACAACTGTAGTACTTTTCAATGGTAAAAAAAATGTCAGTATTTATGATAGGATAGCTTTTTAGAATTTTGATCAAACTATGAAGTGCAAATATGGTTTTAATGGCAGCAATATTTCACTCATAAATTTCTAGACTCATTCTAAATTCTAATTTAAAAGATTACACCACAGATAGGTTTATAATATTTCAATATTATATATTTCAATATTATAATATTTCAACTCAAAAGATAACTATTAATGAAATAGTCCACATGTCATGTGGCCTCACAATGGGACCCAAATGTAAAGTTGCATGACAGACATTTTCTTTCAATCTTTCAAATGAGCCTCTGTGGCTATTTATAATCCCAGTTGTAAATAGTGTTTAAATTCTAAAATGTGCCTATTTCAGTGAGAGTAAAACCCAGGCAAAACAACTCCTCTCCAACCCCTACAGTCCTTGAGTGCAGGTAATATTTAAGAAATTAAAAACTGACCTTTATCTTCACAAACCTGAGATCTTCAAAGATCCTTGCTCCGCAGAACATGGCATTGAGTTCAGGCACATTCTATGGAATTCTACTATGTTACCTGACAGTTAGGATTGACCATTCAGTTGGTCTCTGCTCACGAAAAAAGCAATGCAAGCAAGGTTTTTGTGAGGGAAGAGTGTTTTATAATTTAATTCTAAGAAATACTTTGAAAACAAAGCCATATTCACCCTGTCTCTAAGTCCAAGAGGTCCAACTGGCACATCTCACTGAAAAACATGAAGTCTCTGTCGTCATTGTCAGTAAACTTCTGCACAGAGGCAACTGGTTTCAATTCAATAATTCTTACGTTCAGTAAGAAATTGTTCATACAGGGCCCCGGTGATTATATGTTAACTCAGCGCCAATGCTAAGGATCCATTTACAAAGCCAAATATGATGATCTGAAATACTACTGCAGGCTACTGGCTATGGAGATTTGTTCCCAAAAATGTAACAGGAAAAATGGAAAGAACTACATGAACTCTATTAGAGAGCCAAGAAAGAAGGGATGGATTTTTCACTTCAGAGCTGCCCCTTAAAAGGCTGAGCATGAGGAAAGGCTGAGAAGGAGGGCAAGTCCATTTGTAAAATCAATATAGAAAGAATAGATGTAAATCAAGGAAGACAATCCCGAAAACATATAACGTTTTACTGAAGAGATACAATTTTTCATTCAAATCCAAGGGCCACCCGTGCCAATGGGCATGAAGGAACAACATTCAGGGTCTCTGGGGAGTTAGAATGTTTCTTTTTTCAAAGGGTCCACTTTAATTTCCAGCCTCTCCTGCCTTCTTTCTTCATCCATGTTCATATTAGACTTGTTGCCTTTGAACAAATTTCATCTTTTCTTTATTACTGCACCTACCTTTTTATACTAGTTTTCTCCTGATATCTTTCTCTATTGAAATAATATAATAGCACCTATATCACTTTTTAACAGGTGTTTCCCAAAAGTTTCCCTTGATTAGTCTTTATTCATAATTTGAATTGAGGTTCCTTGAAAACGAAGTCTATCTATATCTTCTATCTCTTTTCTATAATGCTGAGAAGCAAACAGAAATTCAATAACAACTTGCTGATTTATTTATTTCAAATTAAAGCTCTCATTAAGAACTGTTAGATAGCTCTGGTAGCATAGTGCCTAAGACATTTTGACTGCTAACCAGAAGGATGGTGGTTCAAATCCACCAGCCACTCCTCAGAAGAAAGGCTAGGCAATCTACTTCCGTAGTGATACCGCCTGGGAAACCCAAGGAGGGGCCGTTATGAGCCGGATCCAACTCCACGGAAGTGAAGGAGTATATTAATTATCAGAAAAATTTAGGAAAGAAAAAGGATCTGAAGAAGGTTTAACTTCTACTGTGGGTCTGAATTGACTCAGCAGCAGCAGGTTTGGTTTTCTGGTTTGGTTTGGTTTTGTTTCATGATGGGGCTGAAATAAAGTTTTGGCACAAGAAGAAAAGGTCCTCATATGTTTTTACAATGCACAAAAGTACACAACATACTTAACAATAATGTTTTAAAGTAATCAAAACTAAGTTCCCAAAAGAAAAAAATCACCCACAACATAAATCTAATGTGACTTCATAAGGACTGTAACATTGAACAGTCCCAACAGATAAAATAATCTCTTTTAGAGGTTTTATTATTGCTGGCAGACTTTGCTTGTTATTTTGTTTAGTTCCTATTGTCCTTACTGAATTATTCACATAAAATCAGGTAGATTTGGTGTTACTACAATAAAACTGGATGGATACAATAAAACTCAAGTAAGTTAGCTAACTGGAGAGAAGATCAATTTGAACAAAAATTCAATCACTAAAAGCTGACACCTAATCTTTACTGTTTATTACATGCTAACTACTGCTCTAAGGGCTTTACCTATATTAAATTATTCAATCCTTACAACAGTCCTATGAAGCTGCTACTTTTATTATCTCCATTTTATAGATAGGAAAACTGAGTTTCAGGGAGGTTAGGGAACTGGCACAAGGCCACACAACAATAGCAGTGATGCTATTTGATCTCAGCCAGTTCAGCTCCTAAACACTACTATCCCTGCTCATGTTAAATAAACACAGGCTTGGGCATTACCAGCAAATTTAACATGGAAAAAAAACGTCCAAATACATGAAATTATACATGTGACATATTACTATACAACTGTGACTAACTTCTCAATAAGTTTATTCGAATGTAGCTGAAACATTTGCACATTTTGAATTTAAAAAAAAGTACTCACTCAGCTAAAAAGCAACCAACACTTACATTGAATTGAATTTGTGCCATGGATGGTATTTTTGAGCTGTTGACAGGAGTGAAAATGTCATGGACTAAGCTAAAACATCTCTGAATATGGCCTCTCAAGTAGTATAAATATGAACAATTAAATTTAAAAAGAGTATGCTTCCAAAAGTGAGCTAATATTTATGTTGCCAATCTAAGTTTACCTTTGTAAATCTCTCTACACCCAAATTTCACTTTTCAAGCCCTCTTCTCAAACTCCTTATATGTTCATGCTACCCTACCTTCCCTGAGAGTATCTGACCTAAGACCTATTCTATTTCCCAAAACCAACCAGTTTCCTCACTCAGAACCCAAACAACCACTCTCTCAGGCTAGAGGAAACTCACTCCATGAGTTTGGAGAAAGTAACTTAAACTTTAGCATGAATGCCAAGTGGCCCCTGATATTTTCCAAAAGCTTCTATAATTTAAAAAGAGAATACGTGGTAGCCCAAATGAATCTTTAACTGGTAGAATTATCAGGATGACACAAAGGATAGCAACAAAGAGAAGACTGAAGAGGAGATTATCTCAGAGCAAAGAAGTTATAAGAAATTGTTCCTACCTGAAAAAAGGAAAATCTTCCCACTTCTGAACTAATAGATCTAATATTTAAGGTTAGATAAAATGGAGAGAGGGTTTATCCTCACAAATGTTCTTAAGGCTACTGAAGTACGGAAAGAAGCTGACGTTTTTGTATGGATGTGTTATTTGAAAGGTGCTTATTTGTAAGCTAGAGATTTTCCAGATCTTTCACATTAAAAAAAAAAAAAAAAAAAAAAAGAAAGAAAAACTCTGAAGCTTGCCATTCAGCGGAGAGTAGCAAATGGAAGAAATGACAAGATAAAAGAACTGAACAAAACATTTCAAAGAGCAGCTTGAGAAGACAAAGCCAATTACTTTAATAAAATCTGAAAAGACTTGTAGTTAGAAAACCAAAAGTGAAGAACACGCTCAGCATTTCTCAAGTTGAAAGAACTGAGGAAAATATTTAAGCCTCAAGTTGCAATATTAAAAGTTTCTATGAACAAAATATTGAATGATGCAGGAAGCATCAAAAGAAGATGGAAGGAATACACAGACTCACTGTACCAAAAAGAATTGCTCAATGATCATCTATTTCAGGAGATGGCGTATGATCAAGAACCAATGATATTTAAGGAAGAATTCAAAAATGCATTGAAGCAATTGCCAAAGAACAAGGCTCCATGATTTGATAGAATACCTATTGAAATGTTTTAACAAACAGATGCCCCACTGGAGGCACTCACTCAGTTACCCCAAGAGATTTGGAAGACAGCTAC